TCCTTTGCGAGCTGTCATTCGAAGTGCAATGGACAATTGGCTACAACATTTATCAAAAATAGCAGAAATGTGCAAAAATATTGGTGCAAAAATGGTAAAAATAGAATAAAAACTTTAACTTTGACAACAGCAGATGCAATATCTCACACATTAGGTGGCTTAATAGACTTACCTAGCTTTTTACTTGAAAATAGTCAAGATCATCAATTTATTATGCTTGGTGATTTTTCAACAGATCCTTTAAAGAAAGCTTTTGGTAAATTAAGACAAGGTGCTGGTGGTGCCTTCTTTATTTCTGCTCAGCAAGCTGTTGAGAAAATTCATATTCACCATGCTTTATTACTACTAAGATTTGACGCAGACTTTTATGGCTGCTCAGAGCATCATTCTTGTGATGGATGTCTTCGACAGCTAACTGAAGAAGAGAGTGAGATTTTTGTCATACTGAATGATTTAGAAGAGTCTATGAAACAAGACAGCAAAATGGGGTGTGTTTATATTGCTGGATACATTGTTCACAAAATCGAAATGGATAATGTTGAAGATACTTTTATTTATTATGAAATGTATGGCAGTTACTTAAAAGAACTAAATAGGGGAGGTTTAAAACTTCCTGGTGATACTATGTTTCAGTGGGTGATTTTCTGTTACATTTTATTTAACTAACATTTTATTAAACTAGATTTTTCTGTTATGGTTTGTCGAAAATCAGTATCTGAATATTTTATTTCAATTAATCAAATTTATTTTTATCATGCTCTTCCAAAATCAAACATTTGTAGTAGAATCTTATCTAACATACTTTTAAATAACTATACAAAACTAGCTACTCCGCATTCTAATAAAGAACCTGCACAAAAAGTATTGAAGCTGCAATTAGAATGAAGAAAAAATAATTGTTTTTTTAATTGAGAATAAAATTAATGTTATATTTATTTTGTGTTTTTTTTCTTCGGAAAAAAGTGTTTTTAATCAGCCTCCAGTCTTTTCGTTCGATTGGGCAATTGCAAGGCCTGTTATTAAGATAGCCTTGAGCACAGATTACCATCTTTTCATACAATTATCTCGAACTACAGACATGCTTTTTGTAAACAGTTGATGGCTTGTTCCTTAGTGAATAATTCCATGCGTTCCCTTAATCAAAGTTTAAAATAATATTTTTCTTGTAAAAACTATGGACACCAAATTAAAAAAAAAAAAACTATGGGACCTAAATTGTATCTGCCTGTTGTCTAAAATATATTTATAATAATAATAATAATAATACATAAATATATATATATATATATATATATATATATATATATATATATATATATATATATATATATTCAATTTTTTCATTCTGATTCACTTCCAACAAGGCTGCAAGCAACCACTATTAAGTTTGGAGTTACTAGAAAAAAAGTTGTAGATTGTTTGAGTCAGGAAAACATGAAGATGGGAGAGAGTTCCAAAAGGTTAAAGTGTGGGGAAAAAAACTAGATTAATAAAAGTTTTTAGAGCATGCAGGGATAGATACAATAAAAGAATGAGACTTTTCTGAATGACGAAAGCCAGAATAAGTAGTAGTTGATAAGAGGAGCTTATCAAATTGAGCTAGTCCAACTATGTTTACAATGCGTTATTGAACCTTGTCTAGAAGAGAAATGAGCATCTTTACAAGAACCAGCCCAAATATGACAACAGTATCCCATACAAGAACAAATAAGAAATTTGTAGAGTAAGAAAATGGCAAGCAGGATAAAGAGTAGCAACCTTAGAAATTGCTAATTTAGCAATCAAAAGTAAATTTATAGTTTCTATGAAAGGTCAGTAGGAAGCAATAGTTCAAGAAGTAGAGGACCCAGTGAGTTGTTGGGTCAGTTAGAGGTGTATTAGTTACTGTGTTAGCTCATCTGTAATTTACTATATATGTTTGTTTGTATTTTGTCTAAACCACTGTGGTGGTGTTCATAAATTATTATTTATTTGTGTTCTGTCTGATACTCTGGCATGGTGTTCACTCACCTGTAAGTTACTATATTTATGTTTGTGTTCTTCTTATATCTGATGCAGTGTGAGTCCTGTTACCAACTACCAACTCTAACCATAAAGCTTACACTAACCTTAACTTCTAGTATTCTGTTAGATGTAGTATTATTCTTAATAGGTTTCTAAAATATAATGTATATTAATTTTTTATATTAGTGCTTACAGGAAGTAACTTCTCTTAACAACTAATAATTCTCTTGCCTTGGGCTCTTGGATGAGTAAAGGCTAGAGAGGGCGTCTCAATAACATAAGAATGCCACATAAGAAGCCTTTAGTTACAACTTTGGATTAATTAGCAGGACTAAGAAAACTGCACAAAACTCGGATAATTGCATAGCTCATTGCTTAGAATATCATGCTCTATCTATGAATAGTTCAAGTTATTGATAAGTTTAACCATGTCCAAAGTAACCAAAAATTTTAAACATAAATAACCATCATCACCACCTAGTTGTTCGTATATATCTTTCACAAATAATCTTAGTCTTCAAAGTAACTTTCCATCAGTTGAATCCTTTTGCAAAGTTCGTAAGTCTTGTTTGCTCTTTCTAAGACTAATTTAATTTTGGCTGTTCCTTCTTCAGATCTCAGTATTGATGGACACTATTCTTTGATTCGCAAAGACTTAAATTGTCACATGATTGACTTGGGTGTATACATACCACAAAAGTTCACCTATTTTTTTTAAATAAAGTTTAAATCTTTTGACCATTCGTTTATGTGCTTTTGCTTAGCACCTCTTCTATCACCTTTCTCTTTGTTCTTTATCGAGACTACAGATAAAATTTTTGATCAAATTGGCCATGCATTTTCTCTTTACCACTGTGCCATTAAGTGTCACTAAAGTCAATAACTTTTGTATTTCTCAATCTCTTACTCAAAGAGTTAATTTGTAACCAAAACTTCCAATTTTATTGCCAAATAATAATGATGTCATTGTGTTGCTAAACACAATGAATTTCGTCAATGTTGTAAAATAAATTTAATTTTTATAACATTGAAAAAATTTATAAAAAGATAATTATCTTTTGAGTGTACTGTGTGAATACATTACGTAACTTCTTTTTCTAAGACATTTTTCACTTTTTTGTTAGTATTATAGTGTATATTTAATGTTTACACTTTAGAAAAATCACAAACTAATATATCATATCAGCCAAAGTTTGACTTAGCCGGAATTTCTTTTAGTCAAACACTTGTAAATAACTTGAACCATAGATGCTTAAGTTATCAGGGTTTAGCTAAGGGTTGGTAAAAACCCGGGGTTTTTTAAAAAAACTCGCCCCAGTGAGTTTTTTTTGGGTAATTTTGGGTTTTATTGGGTATATTTGGGTTTTATTGGGTAAATTTGGGTTTTATTGGGTAAATTTGGGTTTTTTTGTTTTTTTTTATTTTTTGGGTTTTTTATTTTATATCTGTTAATTAATCTTGTTTATTTGTTTTATGATATTGAAAGTTAGTTTAATTTTCTACTTAAACTTTATTTAAAATATATTTTACATAATGTTATTTAATAATTTATAAAAAAAAATTTTCAAAATATTTTCAAAAAGGTATTTTAACATAACTTAAAATTGTAATAGAAAAAAAAATTTACTTTGAATCTATATGTATTGATTTATTTTACACTTGTTTCTCTGAACATTGGCCTTGCTTATAAAGGTTTGTGTTTTGGAAATAAAGAGTTGAGAGAGGGTTGTGACCACAATAAATAGCCTCCTCACCTGTAGTGGCCTTCTCAGCCTTGGGAGGTGAAAAACTAAAAGATAAAAAATATCACAATCTATGAAAGTATTCAAATAAAAAATTGTGATGTGTTTCCAAATAATGATTCAAATATTAGTAAATCTACTCTGATAGCTGTTATTGTTGGTTATAATAGTTAATAATAATAACTTAGTTAATAATAATAGTTAATAATTAATTTAGCTAATAATATGTAATAATGTTAATGTTGGTTATATTACTTATACTATAATAGTTCATAAAATTATAAAATATCTTTAAAAATCCAATAAAACCTAGGCAATATAGGTTTTATTGGGTTTTTTAAGTGGGGTTTTTTGGGCAGGTTTTTTAATGCCAACCCTTGTTTAACTGTATATAATTTATGTTGCATTTTATTAGAAAAACAAGTCTTGCTTAAGAGTGATCTATATATATATATATATATATATATATATATATATATATATATATATATATATATATATATATATATATATATATATATATATATATATATATATATATATATATATATATATATACATATATATATATATATATATATATATATATATATATATATATATATATATATATATATATATATATATATATATATATATGTATGTATGTATGTATGTATATGTATATATATATATATATATATATATATATATATATATATATATATATATATATATATATATATATATTTAATATAAAATAAATTCACAAAATAGATCAAATTATAATTAAGTTGTTTAAAAAATTCCATATTTTTAATTTAAGCTGACATACTGAAATTCTGTCAAACTGACATTTTTTTAATTTAAACAATTTAATTATAATTTAAATTCTTAAATTTTGTAAAATTTAGTTGACATTAAATCATAAGCATCACAAAATTTTAAATACAAATAAAAGACAAATTAGTTTTAGCTGTATTATAAAATATTTGAACAATTAATAATTCACATAACCAACAAATTTTACTCAGCAAACTTATTGCTAGTGTTACAAGCTGCAACTGCATTAAGAAAACAACACGCCTTTTAAATAACTAATATCTATCAAAAAATGTAGCATGTAAAGCCACTATAACATTAGTATAATCCCAGTCTTAGAAAAATATTGAAGTTGGGAAGCATCTACTTAGTGTTCCAGTAAACCTAGTTAGAAGGTTTTTTTATGAGCCACAGGCTTACAAACACTTGTTAGTATTACTATGTTCTATTTAGATATTCAGCTCACTGAAGTCATACAAAAGTCAAGCAGAAGTTCAAGAAGCAGAAGAAAAGTTAAATCCAAGCAGAGTATCAAATATTTTTTATTGTTTTTAAATTAAAAATAAATTACAACTGTATAGATATGTAAATATGTAGTAATAAGATGTAGTAGGTTATTTAGTGTTTTATTGTATGTGAAGTAGTAGGTTATTTAGTGATTTATTTATCACTATTGTTTTTATTTTGCCACACATAAATTTCTTGTAGCATGACTAGATTATCTATTGTTTTATAAGTTAACACCTTTACATTGTATTAACTTTAATTTTTATATAAAAGGAATTAAAGTATCAAATTAACATTTTTAATTTCATTGTTCTAATTTTTTTTAAATATTTAGTTAAACGTTTTTTAAGCGATATATATATAATAAAATTTTTTCTAACATAAATATTGGAAAACTATATCAATTTAAATAAATGTAAATATTCTTTTTAATATTCATAAACAAATGTAAAAAATAAAACACAATAAAATAAAAAATAAAAAGTATCAAAATACAAAAAGTTGCAATATTTATATATAAATAAATATATATATATATATAAATAAATATAAGTTGTAACATGTAAATATTTTTATTTTGGAAGTTTGTTTAAACAGCTGTAAATTGTTTTGTTTTAGATCCGGAATTAGATCACAGTAAAATGAGGTCAAAACTTTCAGAATATTACAAATTGAGCTTAAAAAATTTTAATGAGTTTGTTGATGAAATTATTTTGGTTAAAGCAGAACTTAAAATATATATTGATGCAGAAAATATTCCTCATGATAATATGTACCTTCTGTTATTGTTATTTGAGAAGTGTATCACTAATCAATCACTATTTGAAATGACTGTAGAATATTTAAAAATAATTTTAGACAAGAAATATTTTCATCATTATTTACTGATATGGTCATCAAAAATGGATGTATCAAAATGTAAAATGGTAGCAAATGCTTACTTGAATATTGTAACATTGTGTGTGTATCATAAAAAAAATTTTTTAACACATACATGTTTAAATGGACTGCAGAAGTTTGTGGACTTTTTGGATGATAAAAACCTCAATAAACATGTAAGTTGATAAAATTATCATAGTGTGGTATATATAGCATATTAAAATTACTGTATATGTATATATATATATATATATATATATATATATATATATATATATATATATATATATATATATATATGTATGTATATGTATATATATATGTATATATATATATATATACATATATATATATATATATATATATATATATATATATATATATATATATATATATATATATATAAATACACTATAAACATATATTATAAATATACATATATATGAATACATATATATATATATATATATATATATATATATATATATTGTGTGTATGTGTATATATATATATATATATATATATATATATATATATATATATATATATATATATATATATATATATATATATATATATATATATATATAAAGGTTGATGTAACAAAAGAAACAAATAGAAATAAAAACAGAAAGAAAAGCGTTTTATTTAAAATAAAAATAAAATGATTAAAAGAAAAACATTGAAACAAACCTTTGAAGTTAAAAATTAAAGTAGTATACTATTTTATTTTTTAAAAGGCAAAAAAACAAAACAAAAATTACAAATTATTTAAATTCTAAATAAAATAATTACATTAACAACATCTAAACAAGTATTTCATTTAAGTTCATACTAAGTATTTCATTCTAAATAAGATAATAAACCTTTTCCATAAATCAGCACATACACAGTGTATTGTGGTAGTTGTATTCATCTAAATCAAAACAAATGTCAAAATGTCTATTAAATATCACCATGATCAGTTAAAATTTGGATGATTTAAAATTGAGTTTTCTCAAAAACCACTAAATCAACTCAAAAATCAAAATCAAAAAATACTCTCCTAAGCTCCTTGTTTGGCATGTTATTTGCAGTTGTGGTTTTAAAAGTTCTCTTTTCATAACAAATCAATCTTTGACATCAGATCTATGTGACTGAATGATTGAAAAAAAAACGACTTTTTCCTCTAAATAAAAAGCGCAAACAACCAACCTTATTTTAGCTAGATTTAGCATTGATTCATTATTCCAAAATGTAATGCAGTGGTTTAATAAAAATAGAGTCAATTTTGTTCCAAAGGATGATAGTTCATCAAACTTTTACAACTAAATTGCTTGCACATCGCAAAGTTAAGCCTCAATTTATTTTCGTTAAAATAAAAATTAGTTATATAAATCATCGTTAAAAAAAAACTCATTACAATTGATTAAGTTGAATAAGTTGAAAACTCAATTTAAAATTGTTCAAATTTCAAACAATCATAGTGAAAGTAATAATGAAGTTGAACTTTGTGAACAGTTGCTAATTTTTTTTACATAAGCAGTAACCAAGTGTTTGATGGTTTTTGACTCCTCTTTTAACCATCTAAGATATAGCCCATTAACCAGAATATTTTCAATAAAATTTTGAGTTATATTTGACAAAATTAAAATGTCTCTTGTTCAAGTTGAAATACTGTTATATATAAATTCTTCTTCATCAACAGCAACAAGCTCATCATGTTTAATTCATCATAAACAGCTTTAGAAATTGGACAATTTTTAATTTTAATTAGTTGTTCAAAATAAGACTTTAGTAATTAAGGCTTAATGACTTATTTTATTTAATATATGATGTTGGAGGAAAAGAAAGTTAAAACAGAAGTAGGGTTGAAAATTTCCTGAAAATTTTTAATTCAGGAAAAATTCAGGAAATTTTTCAAAAAAAAAAAGTTATTTTATAATTAATGGGTAAAATTTTGTCTTATTTAGGTAATTGTTATCAACAATTTTATTGTAAAATATTGTGAAGTAAAATATAAAAATTTTAGAAAACCCCCTTTGAAAAATATTTTTGTTGTTATTTTGTTGAGTTTTTTTTATTATAATTTTAATAGCAACTATGATAATTTGTTTTCAAAATTTTCTGAAACTGTTTTATCCTATTATTTGCTTAGCATGTTAATGTCCGTTGTTGTACCAAACTTAAAACCAAACTTGTTTAAAGCTAAGCATAATTTGCGCCCCCATCCCTAATAGGAAATAAGGCATTTTTCAATATCTTTTAAATTGGCCTAAAAGTTAATGAAAAATGTAAAATTATATATAAAAAGCTTTAATTGAGTATTTACAATATTTTACAATTTTTTTCTGATTTAAAGTTGTTATTGATTAATAAAAGGTAAAAAGTAAAGAAAATATTTTTGCTAAATTAAGCAATAAAAATTAAGAACTAATAATTTCAAGGTCATAAATCCCACCCAATGTTTAAATAAGTGCTTTTAAGACTTCAACCTTGCTGGGGCACTTTTGACTTTAAAAATCAATAAACTCAAAAATGATGAGGGGGGGGGGGAATCCATAAAAAGTACCAACTAGTTTCTTAAAAATGAAAAAAAAGTTTCTTAAAAACTGAAACTCACCAAACTGAATTGTGTCAAATACCCAACTAGCCGACTAAATTTGTCAAAAAACTTACTATAACTTGAAAATCACCTTTGTGGGGTTAGAACACACCCTTCCCTTAAAATTGTTTTGGTATGCAATTTTTGCACATTAAAAAATACTTTACTGTTTCTTTAAAATACTAAAAAAAATTTGTTAATCTAAACAAGATTTTAATCTTTGTATTTTGTAAATATTTTACATCGTAGTTAAGAGATGCAATCTTTGTATTTTCTAAATATTTTACATCGTAGTTGAGAGACGCAATCTTTGTATTTTCTAAATATTCATCGTAGTTGCTATACACAAGCTCAAAAGTTATGCAACTCGGAAAACATGTATATTTTGTTGTTACACAAAAATAATATAAGTAAAAGTAACATAATAACTTGAGCATTTCATTGCTTTTTAAAAAAATCAGTGATTCTTAGATTAACTATAAAAATTTGACTAAAATATCTGCATTTTTCGCTTGTGGGTCTTTTTTATTTTATATTTTTTGTTGAAATATTTAAAGAATACCCAAATATGGCAATGATTAAACGCAAATTTTTAAAAAATTTTATAAAACTACATAATTATAAGTTTATTGCTATAAAAAAATTTTGAAAATTTCCAGAAATTTTGAGCATAATTTCCTAGAAATTTTTAACCCTAAACAGAAGTATTGACTGAAATATTGGATGTATTAATAAAAATAGTTGAAATTTTACTATCAGATAACTTAACTGTTATTGCATGGAATCACAAGATAATATTTTCCTTTCTTTCCCGCCCTTTCTTTGC